ATCTTGGAAGAAGTACAGCAAAAATTCTCCTTAGCGAGATGATTGTGAGACTTTATCTCTCTTATTCCAGCCATGTTATTAGAAGGGACTAGTCCCTGGATAAAGACATCATGTTTGGTAAAATGGAGGGTCAGCAAAAAAGAGGAAGACCTTTGATGAGATGGATTGGCAAAATGGCAGCAGCAGTGGATTCAAGCATAACAGTTTTGATGATGGCACAGAACTAGGCAGTGTTTTTTTCTGTTCTGCATAGAGTTGCTATGAATCAAAAGTGACTAACAACAGAAACAACAAGCTAAGCAATCTTTATCCCCACTTCTTGACCAATACTTGAATTATTTTTTTTAAATAGCTAAATGACTGCTAAATAATATTGCTCTATTATTCTTACTTATTTTCCCTTCCTTACCATAGCTTATCAGTTTACATGTTGAAACTTTCTATTTTTCTTGTTGCACATTTATTGTTGTTGTTAGGTGCCATGGAGTCGGTATCAACCCATAGTGACCTTATGCACAACAGAACAAAACACTGCCAGATCCTGGGCCAACATCACTACTGTTGCTATGCTTGAGTCCATTGATGCTGCCACTAGGCCAAGCCATCTCTTTGGGGGTCTTCCACTTTTTCTCTGACCCTCTACCTTACCAAACATGATATCCTTCTCCAGTGACTTGTCCCTGCTGACAATATGTCTGAAGTATGAGATGAAGTTTGGCCATCTTGGCCTCCAGTGAGCACTCTGGCTGTACTTCTTCCAAAAAGGATCTATTGGTTCTTTGGCAGCCCATGGCACTTTCAATATTCTTCTCCAACACCATAATTCAAAAGCATCAATTCTTCTACAGTCTTCCTTATTTACTGTCCAGCTTTCACAGGCATATGAGGTTATTGAAAATACCATGGCTTGGGTCAGGCGACCTTAGTCCTCAAGCTGACCTCTTTGCTCTTCAACACTTTAAAAAGTTCTTGTGCAGCAGATTTGCCTAATACAATAGGTCGTTTGATT